TATGCAAAATTTCCTCGTGCATTTCCACTGGCTTCAACTCCAGCAAAGTAAGTGTGTACATATACAATGGCCACTGTAATGAAAATTAAACTGAAGAAAAATCATGATTTTTGTAACTGAAATGCGTTTTAACACTCATGCACTGTCATGAAGTAACAGAAATTTAGAATAAGAAGGAATGGAATAAAGAGAAAAAAGAGAAAAGAAGGCAAGGAATGAAAATTCAAAAATTCGTAAGATTATTATAATCGTAAAAAACGTTTCGGTCCATTAAGTCGTATACATTTCTTACCAATACCACAACTGGATCTTGTCAGTACGACGATTGTGATATTTAAGTCGGAAGTTCGACTTCGCTAATAGGACAGCCAATTTCTTTATGACCTGTCCATCCGTTTCGATTGTAAATTGATATTGGTACATGTCAACGAGTCAAACTCGCCATCATTCTGCTTTTCTAAGTAACTTTCGAAAGGAGAAACCTTGTCAACCTTGTTGCCTACAACCAGACTAATGGCGAAAGATAATGACAATTTTTTTCTCTCAAAAAAGTAAATAATAAAAATGTACAATATACCTTCATTGTCTCTTTCTTTCGTTCAAATTCAAGCTCTTTCAATAGCTTCTCGCAATTATCCATGAATTTTTCAATAATTTCTCGTCGAGATTCAGCGATTGGCTTCCTTTTGATATGATAGAAATGATAAATTTCATCAAAATTTACATAGCCTTCGCTCAGATTCACCACCCTGTATGGTTCACTAATGCTTGGCCGTACAGCGCATTCAGCTATTTCACCAATAATTTTAAATTTGTATGAAATATCGCATCTGCTCCCCATTTTAGTATCCTGAAATAATCAGTCAAAAAATTCTCTTTCTGATCGATGTATGTGATCTGATGCCCTCTTCTGCTTTTCCCTTATTCTGGGGCTGTTAGCACCGAAAAATGCTGCCGTCACGGGTGACTTAAAATCCGATGGGTAGAACATGTTGCTTGCTTTACTGGTAGAGATATCACATACCAGTGAAGGGTATATTCATCCGGAAAAAAAAACGATTTGATGGGCGATTTCAGAAGAGACAGCGCAAATATACACCACAGACGATAAGAAGGGTACAGCAGATTTATATATGGCTCTGACGCTGCAGTATCTTGATAA